CCCCAAAACCCCAAAACCCCAAAACCCCATTTGCTGATATGTTGAATTTTATGAGACTATGATTAATATATAAAAATTGATATAAAAAGAAATGGCATCAACTCCTGAAGTTTAAGAAGTGATATCTAAGGTGATAGACAAAATGATTAGGATTTCAATCTCTGATGGAAGATAATATTTAGGTAAAACCAATTTTAACTCAAGTTTTTACAGGAAAATTAATGAGTGTAGACAAGACTAAGGCTTTTTTTATGCAAGATGCAATGGAAGTGTTAGATCGTGAAGCAGAGGATTACTTTGACCATGACTTATTCACAAAGCATCTAATTAAAAACCCAAACTTTGAAAATGAGAGATATGCTTTAAAGTATGTAGGAAACATAGTTATCGCAAGTAAGCATGTGACTAAGGTCTAGATAGATCATAAATTTCAAAAGCTATTTGATGAAAAAGCAGATCAATTGTTATAAATGAGAAAGGAGCTAGAAGATAATAGAAGAAACTCACAATCTTAATAAGAGTAATAGGATTAACAGTATCATTAATGATCAATTAGCTATGTACTGATATGACAGTCCCATAATTTGTAAAGTAACTTCATGTTTACGATACTAGAATTTCACCATATGATTTAGATGATTATAAATATTAATTAACTTTTGATGATTATTAAGATTAAAGTTATATGCTAGTTAAATATAAAACATAAGTATTCATATAAAGATATTAGTAATTTTTAATATTAACTAAAAGTTTGATAGTTAAAGCCTCAGTAATCATCTTCTCCTTCATCGTCACTTGCAGGGTTGACCTTTTGATAAGCCTTGCCCAAAGCAAATAAAGTTCTTCTAAACTCCTTGAGCAAAAGGTTGAAACTTAAGCAGCAATTTTTAAAGAAAAACATAATTTCCATTCTCTCATCAAAGCATTCAAGAGTAAACTAGCATATTTCCTCAATGAATTCATCTACTCTATTTTCAGGATACTTTTCATCTTCTTCATCTTTATCATCATCATCAATATTTTCGTTAACAAACTCAATCATTCCATTGAGAACTTCTTTAATCATAATGCTTTCAAAGATTGATTCCATAAGGCTTTTAACGGAGCTAATTACTTCTGGTATGCCATCTTTTCCTTGTAACTAATCAAAATCTTCTTTAAGAGTTGATAAGAAAGGAAGTGCATCCTAGGGTACCATATTTAATATTGCCTGCATTTCTTATTGATCAATCCATGAGAGAAGATTATTTTGGAATGACTCAGCATAATCAAGTTCAAACGATGCTGTCAATTTACTCTTGATAATAACTGACATCAAATGAAGGAAATGCCTTTGCTACTTTTCAGCAACTTTATCAGCAGCATCTAGCTTCTTGCCACTATCCTTCTTTTCTTTCTTTGCTTATTCTTCATAAAACTGAATTATGCTTAATAGAATATCATCCATCTTAGAGAGTAGCTTAAACCCAACCTTGAAGTTCACACCTTTCATCAAAGAATCAATGATAGTGCTTTTATTTGCCAAAAGCTCGACTAAGTTGGTACCTAATTCTGTAACTACTGTCAATGATTGATAGAAATTTTGAGTATTTGATTTCTTTTAGAGTTATATGACTTTGTCAAGTACTGGATCAAATGGTGAAATGTAGGATTGCTTTAAATACTAGAGTTAATGGCCTCCTTAGATCCCAATGATAATTGATTTTTTATCTGGCTTTATTTGAAGTTTAGCTTATTATGCACCTGCTTCACCTTGTCTCGCCTTGTTGTAGATCTTTACATACTTTTCTAAAAGCTTTATGACTTTGTAATTCTTAACTTTTTCAGCAACTTGCTCTGGAGTCTCATCATCATCAACATAGAATCTCATCATAAACCAGCATTCCTTGTCAGTAAAGCCTAAGTTTTCCTTAATACCAAGTACTGGATCAGATTTAGAGTCAATGATACTAAATTATGTCTCAAGGGAGATACCAGAATTTTCTTCTTCAAATTTCCCCATCTTTAGTTAGACTTGGAATTATCTCATATCTTGTACGCTTATATTGTTAGTTGTTTTCAATGTTTGATTAAGCTGTCTCATAGCTAGATTAGTATACTTTTAGGTATTTGCCATGAATGTAGCAAGTTAACTCCCCAAACCTTCAGGAGCTCCCTCTCTGCCTCCAATCCACCATAGAGCGAATTCATCAAATGTTATCTGTCCATTTCCATCAGAATCGATGATTTTGCAGCATTATTCAACTTCTTCTTTTGACATTGGCTTTCCAAGTTGCTGAGATACAAGGGTCAACTCGAATGGTGATAAGAACTTATTACCATCTTCATCAATACTCTCGAATATCTTTTTAATGTTGTCAACTTCTTTGTCAAATGTCTGCTTAAGATATGATCTCAAAGATTCGAATTTTGAAGTGTCATCCTTCATTGAGAGCTCGAAGTACTTCCAGTCCTGACTTTCTAAATTCTTAACATCTTCAGTCTGCTTTCCAAATATTGTCTTGATTGAATACTTGGTGTACTAATCCAAAATAGTGCCAATCTTAGTTAAATCATCTTTGCCACAGAAAGCCACGATAGCATGAACATCTTTGGGATACTTCGCTTTAGCATCTGGCATGACAGTTGAAATTTTGTGAAACTTTGGATCATAAATCTTCTCTGCAGCCTTAGATTCTTCTTTATTGGAGACTATAAGAAGAACGTGCATCTTGAGATTAGCGATTGGATTGACTTAAGCAGCCAAGTTATTAAGCATATCCATTAGTAGGTTTTAACTTTTCAAATAAATAAATTTTGATATTCAATACTTAATCAAATATTCATATAAGATTCAGTATTAAGGGGTTTTGGGGTTTTGGGG